CACCCAACATCTGGAAGGAGGTTGCTGGAATAAAGGATGTTGGTGTAAAAGTCACCAAAGGATACACTTCAGATGTGGAGGAATTTAATAAGGTCCAGTACTTTCGGTCATGCATGAAGAATACTCATGATTCTGTTAGCTCTTTCAATACTGGGAAGCTAAAACTGGAAGAAAGAATTCTCGCTTTCATTGTGTCGTGGCAGCTCACACCCAGGGGGAGCAATCATGCGGTGCTAAACGAAGGAGATTTAGTACTGATGTACTGCATTCACCACAGGATACGGGTGAACTGGGTCTTCGTCATCAAGGACCACATGATCAAAGCCAAGAGACTTAGTGATTTCAGGTATCCTTATGCTATTCTGATTTCTAAGTTTTTAACACATTTTGGTGTCAATGTAGAAGGAGAACTTGTTGAAACCGTCCGACCAACGAATGAAATAAATAATTCTGTGCTTCACAAAATGGGATTCATTAAAATTGATGGTGAATGGATCTCGAAAGAAGATGCTGGGAGAAGTGAAGAAAGTGAAGAAGAAGAGCAAGAGGAAGGAATCAACACTGATATTCCTGGAACTTCTGCAGCACGTCCGTCTGATCCAATGGAAGAAGTGACCCCACTGGAAATGATTCCATACAATCCACCGCCTGACCGTGGCACGCCTCTGTCTCAGTTCGAAAGAACAATGTTACATCAAATGAGCGAACTGCATTCAGACCAAAGGAGGCATATGCAGATGACTGCTGCTCTGAGGGCTCGGCAGCATTATTTGGATGAAAATTTCATTGCAAGGTTCCAGCATATTGATAATCAACTAGAAGACATTTACAACAGGATTGTGGAACTACAATTCAATCAAGGCCCCGGGGACGAATGAAGACTTTTTATGTTTCTGTTATTCTGTTTTCTTTTCTTAGTTTTTAATGTTCTGTTTTATATTCGGGGTACCCACGTGGCCCCATTGAATTGTAACTAAAACAATCTGTTTGATGCAGTCAAATAGGGGGAGAAATATTATGCTTAAAACTGTCACTACACACACACCACAAAATATATGTCTCTGGTCTGTTATTTTTTATGCAGGTGCAGTGGTTATTTGTCTCCATCAAATAGGGGGAGATTGAAGCACTTGGTGGATTTGATGAAGACATAGATATAGCTTAGGTTGTGGGTGTGTAGATGATTAGGTTTTTAGTTTAAGCACTTAATCTCTTGATAGTCCATTATATTTTGTGATAAGCACCTTAAAACATTGCATCTCATTGAAAATCATTTTCTGCATGAAAAACTCACATTCAAGTATTAAAAGAACAAACTAAGTTTTTTTTAATCTGTTGAAAAAGATTTTCAATCTGTTAAAATCACTTAACAGAATAAGTGGTCATACATAATCGTATTTTCAATTGATTGATTCGCAGAATCAACAAGTTAAAATAACTTAGTGAATTTTTTCAAATATCATGGTTTCGCATTTTCAATCTGTTGAAATAATTTTCAATCTGTTGAAACAGAAAGTTTTTTTTTTTTTAAATCTAAGAGTGTTCAGAAAATCAATCCGTTGAAATACTTTTCAATCTGTTGAAACAGAGAGGTTATTTTTCTGTTTAAAAGACTGCAGGATTTCAATCTGTTGAAATGATTTTCAATCGATTGAAACAGAGAGCTGTCATTTTTCATAAAGCTGTTTCAATCCATTAAAAACTCGAATCAATCGATTGAATGGAGCTTTAAATGAAATCAATCGATTGAATCGATGTTTTAATCAATTAAAATGTATTCTGATCGATCATAGTTTCATTCTGATCGATCATAACTCTGTCTGATCGATCATACTTCGAGCTCTAATCGATCGAGTCTCTTTTAAACTGTTATACTCTCAAACTAATCGTTCATTTGACTCTTCGAAACAGTTTTTGACATATGAAACGTTTTGATTCTTTGTTTTACTCTATATATACAGAATTGATATATCTTTTAAAATATATACAACACACTACTTGAGAAAACTTGTGAAATCAATCTGTGAAACTTTCATATACGTGACTTTCTCTCGCATTCAATAATCTTTTCATATCATAAGGTGTCGTGATCAGAATAGTGGTCAATCAAAGAGAGAAAGTGCTCGTTAGAATTTGTTCTGGACAATTAGAACTTCAAGTCCAGGTTTTTTCTTTCCATACTCTTTTGTAAAAGTGTGATTGTGCAGGTCGGATTGTGATCTGCACTTGGTACAAGAACTCGGATTTGGTTATCGGGTGGTTTTCAAGATTCTATCTTGTGGGTTTGCAAGATAGTTCTTGGGGTAGATTGGTGAGTATCTACTCGGTTGTAATTTTCACTTGGAATTAGTGGAACTTGACAGGTTTGTCAAGAACTCGGATGTAGCTCTGGATTAGAGTGAACCAGTATAAACTTGTGGGTTAAAATTCTTCTTTCATCTCTTTTATTTTCTGTCTATAAACTTGCTGTGTTTAAACCAAATTACCTTTGCAAAAATTGAATAAAGATAACTCATTCTTCCAAAAGAAAGAAAGTTTTGCGAAAAAGTTTTAAAGTTCAATTCACCCCCCCCCCCTCTTGAACTCAACCATTAATTCTTTCAGAAGGAAAATAAAAAAGAGTAATATAAAAAATATTAGAATCAGTGTTGATCAGATGTCAAAGATGAGTAATAAGGAAACATCTTTTCATGAAAAATCACATTTCTAAACACAACAATGGACTTTGACTGTGGATCATACATAACATAGCTTTTTGTTCCAAATTTATATCCAAGAAAAACATAGTTTAGGCTCATGGAATCAAGTTTAGTTCTTCCTGCAGTGGTAATACTTATGTATGATAAATAACCAAAAATTTTGAGATTGGTAGAATTAGATTTTATAGAGTAAACAAGTTCATATGGAGATTTATTATTGAGAAAGGGAGTAAGTAATCTGTTTATAATATGAACAACAAGTTTAAGAGAATAAGACCAAAAAGTGTTAAGTATTTTTGCTTGAAAGAGAAGAGTTCTACACACATTAAGAAGATGTTGATGCTTCATCTCAACAATTCCATTTCATTGAGGGGTTACAACATATGAAGTTTCATGAAAATTCCTTTACTGTTATATAAATCATTAAGGAGAAATTCTTTACCATTACATCTTATTTTCTTTAATTTGCAAGAAAACTAATTTTCAGTCAAAATGATGAAATTTTGAAGCATAGTTCTGAATTTAATCTTAGTTTTATGAAAAAAAAAATCCAAGTACATAAACTATACTCATCAACCATAGTTAGAAAATACTTGTATCCATTAATGTAAAAAATTGAGACATGATCCCATATATCAGTATGGATGAGTTCAAAAAAGGAAGTGGATTTACTATTGCTAGAAGAGTATTTCAAGTGTTTCTGTTTAGCAAAAGCACAAAAGCATCACAAATAACAATAAAAGTAGAGCAAATATCAGAATATTGGGAAGCAAGACTTTGTAAAACTTTATTGAATGGATAACCAAGTTTCATATGCCACATGTTACAAGGATTAGTCTTATTAGTAAGGACAAAATGTGGTAAAGAAAATTTGTTTCAGATACACTCAAGTTACAACTTCCTAGGAGATGAAATAGACCTTAATGCTTTTTAAATGCTCCAATCATCTCAAAAGCATTAGTCTGCAGAAGAATACAATGGTTTTGGTGGAAAAACACAAAACAAGATGTAGAACTGAGTAATTTGGGAATAGAAATCAATTGAACAGAAAATTCATGAACAAAAAGAGTGTTATGAAGAATAAGATTGCCTGAGACTATGGTACTTGAAAATTTAGCAATGATAGAATGTTTATTGGGTAAATATATAGAGATAGGAGGAATAGATTTGAGATTTTGAATAGAAGATTTAAAATGACAAATATGATAAGTAGAACCATTATCTAATATCCAAGAAGAAAAGGGAAGAACAAAACCTGAAGGTGTTACAGTACATTAATTAACAACACTGGAAGAAAAAGACACATTTTTTATTAGTGTAACAAGAAGAGAATTGTTTCATATTGATTTTTAGAGAAACCAAACTGAACATTAATTTTATCATTCTTCACGATAGGAAGATCAATAGTAGGAGATGAATCAAATTCAACCTTACTAGTAAAAGATTTTGGAGGAATATATTTAGCTTTAGGATTCTGGTGATAGCCTTGAGGAAGATCGTGCTTAATCCAAAAATTGTTAGAAGTGTGATTAGTTTTGTAACAGTGATCACAATACTTAGTGTTATGTCCCCCATATTTGTTAGAATGTCCCCTTTCACGATTATTAAAGGAACCTCCATAAGTATTAAAAGAATTTTGATTGACACTCGTATTAAAAATTATTCATAATAGAATCTTGAGAATTGGGTGAGAATTAGGTGACAATAAATAATATTTTTATTTTTTATAATTTATAATTATATGCAAAAGGAAATTTTTTTAACTGTGTTTCTTGGCATGGTGAGAAAATTAAAAAAATATTATAATTTTAAAAATATAATTATTATAATTTATATATTTAAAAAAATAATAAATATATAAGAAAAATATAATACGTAATTAATTGAGAAAAAGGATAAATAATTTAAAAAGTAAAAAGAGAAAACAAAATAAAATTTTAAAAAATACTTTAACACACGTATATTTTAACACCCGTGATTCCACTTATTTAGAATGTAAATTCAATATTTCACATATCAACTTATTTAATCTATGTTTAATGCGTTTGGTTTGATGTTTCTGCTATCTACATTATAAGATCTATTAAAAGAAAATTGGACATGAATTTATATATTTACTTTAATTGAATTGATAATTATTACGTACTATATATTTAATTTATTGTGGGATCAAGTCAGATGTGCATAAAATCAAATATGGACAAGCTTAAACTGCTTTAAATACCTTTTATTTTTCACATTAAAAATATATAATTGAGGACTCCAGATACCAAAAAATGACTTAACTGTAATGTAATTAACGTTGAGACAAGGAAGAAAGGAAGGGGTGGTTGGAGAGATAGGGAAAAGGGAAGAGAGAAACGAAGGAAAAGGGTGTGACGATGGATAGTGCTGCCAATATGTCTCCCCAAACCCTGTGGGGCGGTTCACTTTTGCAGGAAGCTTCTTTACTCTTTCCCAGGTACGGACACTGCCTGTCCAGGAAGGATGCTAACATAATAATAATAATAATAATAATAATAATAATAATAATAATAATAATAATAATAATATAAACATATGATTATTTTTTCTTCTTTCTGTGGTATTGACTACAGTCATAGTAGAGCCCTGCTGCCAGTACCCTCAGCCTTATCATACAAGAAAAATTTGGACTGCACAAACCCACTCTGTCCTGCCCCTCTTGTTTATCTTCTATACACTTGAAAAAGATAAATAAATTCTTATTTTCATTCACGACTCTGTAATCTTGGATTCACATTTTATATGTTTTAAAGAAATAAATCTTAGATGAATAAAGATACCAAAATAAATATATATTATCTAAGTAAGTAACATCTTACATATGATTATACAATTTTATAAATGAGGACGTTGAGATATTAATTGTAACAGTGATAAACCACATAAAAATGTCGAATTAATATTAAACTAATCGTTTTGATATAATATATTTAAAACATTTTGATTAATATATTTAATATTTTTAATCAACGACATTCATTTACCATGTATCAAGTACTTTTATCTTGAAATCCCATTCTTTTGGCTTATATACTTACACGAATTGACTCGAATAGTCATGCCTCTTTAGAGGGAAATTTTCATCCCTTTCAGACACAGGTTTCAATCCCTTTATGAGAAAATTCACATGGTAGACATATATGGAGACCTGCCACTCTGAAGTCTGTAGAACTTAAATAATTGTTATTGGATTATTTGCGATTTAGATATTTATACAATGATTCTCTGGGTTGCATGTCATATTTTTTTAGTTGTAATCTAACATGTCAGCCACGTCATGATATAGATGAATTGGGAATGTTAGCTCTTTCTTCTCACTTTAATGGATTATAATAAATAGAATAATCGGTTAATGTCTACGTAAATAGTTAACAATTTCTTTCAAATATTCAAAGGATATATACCCAACAGAGATATTTAATTGACATCACCTATATACGAAAACTATCATAATCAAATAATTTTTTAAATATAATTGCTAATACAATTCTCTTAATCAATTATAGTTGAAAAAAAAATATATATATATATATATATAAAATTGAACAACAATATGCAATTAAAAAAAATATAACCCCTCAAAGGGAAGCTTACTTTGGAACTCATCTATGCATAGTTTTAATATATGAATTTATCATGTTTTCATCATTGAAATATATAATAACCCTAAACATATGGGCAGAGAAGAGAGTAAAGTGTAGGAAGGTCAAATTAATTACTTGCGCCGTGTGGTGGGTCATTGTTTCACAATCACATATTAAGGACCACAAAATATATATAACTGTCGAGTGTATCGCTGGAGAATTACTATGCTGTGATGTATGGCTTTTTTGGGTATGTGCTGCAATGTGTTGCTGTATGACATTGATGGATCCTTGTGCACAAACCTGCTAACTGTATGGTCATTAATTTGCACACTCATCAAGATCAGTACATGATATTCCTGAAGAAACATCGGTCTCACTGCACATACATATTAATGTGTGTGTAAAATCTCAGTTGCAGTTGTACTTAAGAAAAGTATTACACAACACAAGTTCTTCCTTAGAATTTTGCTAACTATCACAACATCTAATATTGATTGATATTTGTATCCCTCAAAACTCAATATTGTAGCCAGCATTTGGGTGCAGATCCGGTTGTAAAGATGCAACAATATGGTAGACCTCGTGATTAGGTACGTTTTTTTCTAGTAAAACACCAAACGGATAAGACTAAATTTGAATTAAAACCTATAAACCTACGTTTAGATTGGATTCATTTTGAACTAAGTTTGCAAATCAACTCTTTTTCCTTCCTTATATTCCTGGCCGAGTTTCAAGACAAATTTGTAATAAAACTTATTTTCAAATCAAATTCAACTGAAAAGTAAACAATTTTTTTTTCTTTTTTAACCTTTTTAAACATATTTTATTAGGCTTCCAAATTCAAAACCGTACATGAATTAACTCTGTGGTAATGTAATGTTTTGCTGCATAATCTATATTTATTTCTGCAACCTTGTTGCCGACACTTCTGGTTTATTAGAGATTTATAGAATACTGAAAGTATAGATAAACTACATAACATATTTTCACTCAATTAATAATTGGAGTTTATACTATTGTATTAAATATTAGAGAATTTTTACTGTTTAAAATATTCGTATTTAACTTGATTAAAACTATCTCTTGTAAAAAAATGTATATGAAGTGTGGTACAAATAAAAAAAGTATTGAACATAATCTAGTACTTTCGGCATCAATTTAACTCGTTTAGCCTAAATTATTCTTTCAAAAATGGAAATAAGAATTTTCAAAGTACTATTTGTCGACTGCGGCTTCTACATGGTGCATATATCTGTGCGAGGGAGGTTTTTAAATCAGACCATAAATGACAACTTAAAAAATTTTGCTAACTATTTTAATGACGTATGGTTTAAATTGTTGGGATATTCCTTGTTGATTTGCAAAGTGAATAAAGTAAAAAAAATATATATATGAAGAAGAAGAAGAAGAAGAAATCATATTCGACCGTTAGTACCCCCTATTACGAACAACTGTTATCTACAACGTGGAAATATTATGATTTTTCTTTAATTTTCAATCCAAAAGCTATTCATAATTGTAAAAAATACGGACCTTGGTTTGATGCCTAAACAAAGCACATTAATCTTCTTGTTCATACATATATATTTATTGAAAAGCAAAGGGAAGAATTTACTACCTCAATTACCCACCTTCATTACACAAACACCAAAAAGCTGCACTATTTCAGCCAAAGCTACAGAGAAAGAAGCACGAGGGAGGAAGAAGAGAAACAGTAACCAACACTGAGCAAACATCGTTGAAGGTGCATCATACCAGGTAATACAATTTTGATTCCATTTGCATGCATAAAATGAAAAGAAACTCACCTGAAATTGGTGTCATATTCCAACACGCAAGTGAACTTTGTCACTTCGCCTCCCTCACTAAAATATAAATTGAAGCCATTATTTTCTCCTAAATGCCCCATAAATATATATTAAGATTGACCATCTACTCATAATCAATCTCTATACATAAACCCTTGGTTAGCTCTTGCTTAAACGATGCATGTGAGACCGTCAAATTTCTGTGCTTCTTACTCGAGTCACTGGCCATTCACTCAGTGGTTTTGGTTTTCTTTATTGAGCTTTAGGCCATAGTTCTCCCACAAGTTTCCGTCAGTATTCATCAAGAAGGGGAAGCAACTATCAGAGGGAGCAACATTTCCAGCATTGGTTTTTGAAGGTGAAGAACCATTATTTGTTTGTAGCCTCTCAATCTCTTTCCCTTGATCACTGATATCATCACAATAGGCACTTCCTTGGTCGTATAAGGAAGATTGTTGGTGATCATCATTGTTCTTGAAGTAAAAGCAGCTTCTAGAGTTTTCCTTGCGCTTCTTGCTCCCTTCCTTGTCACCCTCTCTTGAATAGTTACTGATACTTTCCCATTTTTCTTTGCACATCAAAGCACTCCTTTCGTAGCCAAAACAAGCCATTTTGGTTGCTACTACCTCCCACGAAACCTCTTCTGAAATTTCACTATATGGAAACCTTGTCTCCGTCTCAGCTCTCAACTGTTGAAGCCTTGTAATTTCAGATTCTGGCCACCTATCAGCACCTCTGATAACATTGCTGCTGTTTAAGATTTCACTCTCATCTTCATTATTCTGGTTTTCACTATGGTTTTGAACTTCAACAACCGTTACATTTATACCATCATTAGGAGTTTCAGCCTTCATTATTTCTCTTCCAGTTAGCTTTTGTAAAGCTTCCATTAGAGCAGCATCCCTGGCTTCAATCCATGCTCTCTCTTTAGCCCAAAACTTTTGCTCCCTCTCTAACCTGTTTGCCTCTTGTTTCCTCCATTCTTCCTCTCTTAACATCCTCTCCTTCTCCTTCTCTTCCAGTGTCTTCACCAATTTATCCAACCATTCCTTCTGCTTCTCCACCAGCTTCCTCATCTGTGAGTCAATAAAGTCTTTTATCTTCACCTTCCAACTCCTCCCACTCTTCCTTTTTCTCCTCTTCTCCATGGACTCATTCTCCATGCTATGCTGGTCATTGTCATCATCAGATGATGTTGTATCAAAGTTAGTGGAGTTGGTGAGGCTGAGGCTATCACAATGCTTGTTATTGTGAGACTGAAACATATCTTGATTTGTCTGGGAGGGGACATGGTTGCTTGCTTGAAAATGAATGCTGCCAACCACATTGGTTTCTGGGACTGAAACTGTGCTACTGTTTTCTCCATATAAGGCTTCAAGTTGACGAAAGAATCTGTAATGCTTCCCATCATGCCTTCCTGCCTTACCATCTTTTGTCTTCTTGTAATATTTGTACAAATTCTCAAACTTCTCCCTGCACTTTTTCCCACTCCTTTGATATCCATGTTCTTCAGACATGATCCTGAGATCACAAGCACAATCAAAAATGGGCATGGTATGCATTAAACAGGAAAAGGCTACAAGAACTATTGTAGAATAGAACCCTAGTTCTCAAAGAAAAAACCCCTCCCTTCACCCTCCCATGTGACGATGAACTTTGGCATTTAATTAATAATTTTATGCAATGCCATGCAGTGACGTTTTTAGGTTCTTGGTACCTAGTTATAACAAAGCATGCGACACTGCAATTGCTATATATAAGTGAGGCTTCGAAGGAAGAGCCTCGGCTTAAGGTCATTTCACACGATGAAATCAGAAGACAGGTGCAAATGCATTGGAATGGTCAATGAATTTTCAACAACCAAAAACAAATAATCAAACAAAGGGAACAAAATCTTGCATCTAAAAGATGGGTACAAATTTTCAAAATACAAAATGAGACTGCTATAAACCGTACTGGACTCGGTATACACACATAAACTCAATGGTTTTGAGTACACGATCAATAGTCGCAAATTGAATATACAAATGTAAACAGCTTCTGCACACTGTATAGTCATTTCCAACGAAAGAAAAGGCTAACAAAATTAATGCATACCACTACATGTCATAGTTTCCAAAACTCCTAACGACAAAATTAACGTCAAGTCCATCCGTGTCATCTCACGATTAACTAAATCGCGGAAGCACCACATGTGCATCCAATTTAGTAGGTTGCCCTTATTATTTTTTCCCAAAAATCCAAACATACTACACCAAAAATTATCATTTGAAAATTCTCAACTCGAATATATAGAAATTGAAGAGAAAAGCAAGGTCCATCATAGAAGAAGAATCATTAAATCGACTATATAACTCTGCAATTTAGATGAATTTCATTTGCAAAAAATATAATAAATTTTCTCTTGTTACCAGTATTTAAATTGTGCACTCTATCAACACTTTTAGAAACTAAGGCAAAATTAGTTAAATTTCTAGTGTAACCTATAATCAACTTATGCGGTGAAGTTGAAGAAGTTAAACAAGAGCTTCTGATTAACTTACCGGGTTTATTTGGAGAAGTTATAAGTTAAATATAGTGGATATTGTACCTAGAGACTTCATCCCATAAGGGTCCTTTGTGATTAGCCTCTTTGAATTTAGAGTCCAAGCGAGATCTGATCTCAAGGAGACTGAGGGTCTCTTGTCTGGGCCATCTTCCAGTGGAAGGGTCTCCACCGATGCAACCTGCACCCTCGGCATCAAAGGTAGGTGGAGTGGGTACAGTGATGGTGGGTGCTGCAGCAGCAGAATCATGGGGCGTGGAAGCGAAGTCGTGAAGGCCAGGTGGCATTATGTCACGACCGAACATCATAACCTCGTAGTGTTGTTGCTGCTGTTGGGAACCGGGCAAGGGTGTGAGATTCCGGTGGCCGGGGAAAAGCTCCACCGTTGGGTGTGGCGGCATGGAGGGGAAGCTGCTGTGGGGGAGCCTCGGCCCATTCACGACTTGCCTGAGATCGTTCACGCCAAAGTGGTGTTGATGTTGATGCTGATGCTGATGGTGGTGGTGGTGATGGTGATCTTCCATTTCCATGAATGGGACTTGAGAGAGAAAGAAGTGTGATGAATTGGAAATAAGGGGAGAGAGAGAAGGAGAGTGGTAGAAGCGGCAGAGTCGGATCCTGTCGTGCACGAAAAAGCTCAAAATTGTAGCTGAGGACTATGGTCCCATCCCATGTCCAAGTGTATGCTTGTGATGGTGTATATGTATAAGTATGAGAATGAGACTAAGAGAGAGAGACTAAGAGAGAGAGAGAGAGAGAGTGAGAGAGAGAGAGAGTGACACTGTGTCTGTTTAAACTATACTATATAGTATTAGTGTTGGGGTGTTGGAGTGTTTGGGTGTGTTATCTGTCTATTTGGCCTTTCGAAGAACAATGCTGCTTCGTTCTGTGTCTTTGTTCAGAACAGTGCGGGGAGTGGGGTTCAATTGCTTGGGAGGAGCCAGCAAAAGGGTCTAAGCCCTAAGCCACCAACAGAAGAACGTATGTGGCCTATCACTATGGAGGGCCACAAAAATTATTATCTCTTAATTAACTCTTCCATTTATTATAAGTTATTCAAATCAGAATATAGTAAAAAGTTATGTAATAAATTTTTCACCACTTGTCTTGGAGACCATCATGTTCCAGGAAGTAAACATCTGTAATCTTTATGGTAAAGATTCAAATCTTAATTTATTACTAATCTCTTCCAATAATTATAACTTTTATGAATAATTACGTTACATTTTTATCAAGTTAAAGAAATTTAAGTAATAATTAATAATATATATTATTGATGAAAGTTTTGGCAATTCTTGAGAACATATATGTTTATTCAAAAATCGTTTGAAAACTAGACCAACAAATACGTTTTCAGAAATGGGACTATATTAAGTCCAAATATTTTGAATTGGACCATGATATTTTTAATTTGAATTTGATATATAAAACACTTATTCGTACTATTATTCTATTATCGTACGTCTAATTTGAAGCCTAATTATTGAATATTCGTTTTGATAATATGAAATATATGTCATACGTAAATATATGAGGAGTTATATATAATACAAGGAGGTTGTAGAAAAGTAAAAGGATAACTGAAAGAAGAGTCCAACAAAGTAGAAAGATGGGTAAAATATGAAGTTATAAATATACGTAGAATTAAAATTAAAAGTAACCAGAACATAAAATTTTCCATAAGAATGTAGGACTATTGGAATCGTTATGTTAGGTGAATAGGAGTTTTTGTACGTATTTAAAGCGAACTAAAGCTTTATTACGAACAAATTTACATGATAATTTTGCGTTTATACATTGTTTTAACTAAATGTAAATAACTAAATGTCTCTATTGTTCGAATGATGATAATTTGTATATTTAGATATTTGGCACATTCACATTGTCTTTTACACGATTCTTTACTATATTGATAATTATTTCTATTTATGATAATTATTTTTAACTGTATATTACATTTTTTTTATGTTTGAAAGTTTTTTAGAGGATGTTTTGATATGACTATTTTCATTAATTTTTTGTAAGTTTTTTTTATAACTATGTTCGTTTTTTTCTTTTAAATTATTCTAATATGTTTTTTATCTGATATTACAATGATTATAAAAATATCTTTAATTATTTTGATTATACGAGAATCGGTGTAATAAATGTAAATATAATATTATTGAAGGATTTTTAATATTAATTATTTAACAATGTAGAAAATTCTTATTGTACTTTTTTTTATTATTTTATTGCAATGTGTGTTAATTATTTTATTTATTGTGTCCACATCGTAATAATATTTTCTCAAATCTTTCAAAATTTTCCCCTTCTCAAATTTATTCTTTCTAAAAGTTCTATTCTCTAAAACTCATTCTTTTTGTAAGTTTCTTCTTTTCAAAATTCTTTCTTTTCAAATTTCCTCCTTTTCAAATTTCCTCTTTTTTAAAGATTCTCCAACAATCTTAATGAAACAAAGTCACTATAAAATCATACCGTTATCAATACCATCTATTCTTACATAAAAAATAATGAAAATGAAATATCAATATACTATTTAAGACATTATCACTGTTCCTTAATACCATTTTACAACGTTATTGTTATCTTTAAGTAAGTATATCATTTATATTTTTTTTATTGACCATATAATTTTTTTTTAAGAATGAATAAAAAAATTATCGTTAATATTTTATATTGATATTATTATATTATATTATTTTAGAAAGTATAAAAAACAAATGATACCTTACCTATAATTATGTGTACAATTTTAATCATTTATAAGTATGATATGTGTGATATGGATTAATAAATAATTATTTTTTAGAAAATATTAATTGTAAAAGAAATCGATATTATATATTCACTTTTTACATTTAACTGATATAAATATTCGCACACTTTGTAACAGGTAATAATTATATTAGTTCAACCATGAACGTAGAAGATATGAAAACCCTATTTTCTATATTTTTCTCGGTTTCGAATATGATATTTTTGTTGTTTATAATATTTAAATGTCTGTTTGAGTGGAAAGAAAGAGAATATTTAACTTTACCATAATTCTTATGTTTGAATATATACATTTCACACCTCTAAATTTGAATATAATATATAATCCCTTATCCTTAGCTTTTTAACACTTTACTTATATTCTAATACATGCATAGCACGTCTAATAATTGATATTTTTTCCCCAACTTTATATTTGGATATATGTGATTATATTTTCATTTGTTTCATATGAAAATAGTATTTTTTTTTATGAATAAATTCTCCATATTATATAAGTTACTTTTTAAGTCATTACAACTAATAAAATTTCATTGAAAAGAAAAATATGTACTACGTTTTTTGTTAGGCAATTTTAAGGGGAGTAATAACATTTTTTTATCGAGAATCTTAAATTAACTTCATAAGAAAATATGAGATAATATTGAATTAAAATTATTAAATTATAAGTTAACGAGTCTTTCTATGATATTTCACTTTTAAATTTTTAAACAATGTAATATATTAAGTTATAATTGAATGTTACTTTTAAATTTTTATTCAATGTAATATATTAAGTTATAATTGAATTCTAATCATCATGGCTGAGCTTTAACAATCTATCAGTCATTTCTCCTTTAAGCATAAATATTATGAAGGTCTTAATAGTGACATTTACTTATATCATTATTTACCACACTAAAACAAATTTACTTAAAACTATTTTCATTAAAACTTTTATTTTAATATAAAGGATCCACAAATCTATGATTCATTATTCATTTCATATCAGTGAGATTCTAATATTACTCAAGTAAAAAAAAAAAAAAACTGATAAGATATTCACTTATAAGTCAACAAAAATTTATAGTCTTCCCGTTTTAAGTTAAACTTATTAACTTGTGATTCATGATAAATTATTAAATTATTATTTTCTCTTGTTGTTTGAACTATTAAACTAATGCAATATTAGTATAATAATTAAATATATTAAATTATAAAAATATTTTAATAGTATATATATATCATTTATTTAAATTTGAAATACAATGTATCATAAAAAAATGAAATATCAATATATTTTTAACTATGTAAAATATTATATCTATGATATATTAATAAAAAATTAAATTTAACAATGAAATTGATTTTTCTAAAAACATTACATAAGTATATATTTTCATTCAAAATATTATATATATATATATATATATATATATATATATATATATATATATATATATATATATATAATATATATATATATATATATATATATATATATATATATATATATAAACATGTGATGTAAAATAGCTGGCAATGAAAGCTTCAAATGAGGGTGCTAAAAAGTGGGATGACGAATGGAAGACAGCAAGTTTACATTGCTGACGCGTGCATAGTCACTGGGATGCTGCCTTTTTAACTTTGGTAATCATTCAATATAACAATATGACAAACCTTGCTTCTTTCAATTTTAAACAATTTGTTCATCTTTTCCTTACTTTTTCTTTAAACAACATTTTGCCAAATATTTTATATTTGATTGTTTGTCATTCACTATAACAATTTTAAACATTTTACTTTTACTACTTTGATTGTTTGTCAAAATTGAATAACTAAAACAATTAAATGATTCATTTTTATATTTAATAAAAGTTTATATTGTGTTAATTTTAATATGCATGAATAGAGTACTCAATAAATTTGACTTAATATTAAACTTGGTAAATACGATTTCCGTAAAAGAATTTTTTATCCAATACTGAGCTTTATTTACAATTATTCAGTTAAATTTTTGGAATATAATGATAGGTAACATACTTTTATGATGCGTGCCCTTCATGTTGATAAGATACGTTTCTCTATATTTAACCTATATAAAAAGTTACATGTTTAACTTCTGTCTCAAAATCAATCAAATTTAATCGATAAATTCAACTGAACTTATTGGTAATTATGGGTTAACTTATCGATAATATGTATGTATATATATATATATATATATATATTTTATCAATTTTTTATTAATATATTTTGTATAATTTAATTGTGTATCATTATAATAATTTTATAAAAATAAAAATAAAAATAAAAATAAAAATAAATAAAATTTTATTTAATTTATTAATTAAATTATATATTTTAATTGAGGATTATTATGAATGTAAAAATGATAAAGTAAAGAAGATTAAAATTTTAATTAAAGAATTTCACTAAAGGAAACATTCATGCATTTAAAGAGGATAATTTCTTAGTTATGTTAATATGCTCAACGAAAAAACGTTTTGTTGAATGAAATTAGTGAATTTTGTTCAAATAACTTAATTAACTATTTTGATTAATGAAATAGAAAACACTTAGTTCTAGTTCACATTTGATAGTCTTAATGGTTGTATAAATAGTTCAAAGAAAACCAAAAGACATAAATTATATTTTAGTTAATTTTTATTTATTTTCTCATCATTTTAATTCTCTACGAATTCTCTTTCAAGTTTCTTCAATGGAATAATGTTGAAGATCAAATTTGTTGTCTTTCCTTTATTTCATTATTTTAATTTCTATAATTTATATTTCTCTATTCTTTATATTACATTTTTATGACTTTCTAAGTTTGGTGGTATTCTAACGTGACTTTTATTTTCATGGATTAAGATTTGATTATTCAATATTCTAACCATTCATAATTCATTATAATTAACTTACAAAAGTACAAAATTCACATTTAATAATGATGAAAATTATAATTTACTTGTCATATGTCACATTAAGTGTATGGTGACAATTGTGTGATTTTTATGTTGGTTCAACTTTCAACTGACATAGTAAATTTTAAATATCAAAACTTTTCATGATTACTTCTTACTTTGTCACTTTTTCATTGTTTGGTGCCTTTACAGTTTTTCTTCTTCTCCATTTTTTATTTCTCCTTTCAACACCCTCACCATTTGTCTTTAAAAGCAATGAGGGGAAATTAATGACAATGTAAAACATGTCCCTACATTTTCAAAAGATAATTTTGATGATGATCCAAGTCAACAACATTCAAGACTCAAGCAAGTTCAATATATGATTTGATAAAGATTCTATTTAAGATTCAAGCAAACCCAAAATGATTCCTGAAAACTAGATAAAGTCTTAGAATACTGGATATGGAGGTACAAGTTGATGAAGTGGTATTATGCATAAGCCTCTAAAGCACAAGTGTGATAAAATTTCGTAACATGACATTTTTCACTATCATAATTGATTATATGCATCAAAAATGGAAAAATGATTTTCTCTCTGTCATAATTAATTATACTTGGTAAAATAATCGATTATGACAGTTCAAATTTGAAAAATATTCATTTTGAAGAATAAATATTTTTAAATACATCCTGATTTTTTTCTCTACGAAAGTATTAATGACTAATGACTATTTTCTTATATTATTTTTTTATTTAAATGCATTTTGATGAAAAATAAAAAACACACAATTACAAAATTCGAATATTCAATTTACATTCAATTAGTTTTGAGAAAATGATTCTGAGCAAGGTAACAAAAATATTTTACACCTTCTGAGAAAACTCTAATCTCTACTGCCTTATGTGATTTCATTGTTAATCACACTTTTCCTTGGAGGTTGACATTCTACATGCTTCTACAATTTGTTGTCTCCATTACCAGATGTGAATGTACTAATTTTATTGCCTTTATCCTTTTGTGGGTTTAAGAGGTTTAAGTTAATCAATTGTGTTATTTTAGGGTTTCTTGTGTGAAAACTATTCATCCCTTTGATTTGTTCAGGGAGGTGTTCATCCATAGTGTGATTCTAGGGAGGTGTTCATCCTTAGTGAGAATCTAGGGAGGTGTTCATCCTTAGTGAGAATCTAGGGAGGTGTTCATCTTTAGCTAAAGATGTTGATACATTTAAAACTTTGGCTAAAGATAAAGAAGTTACTAAACCTTGTAAAAATTGTAATCATTTGGAAAATGAGATTTTTCAAGTTAAAGAAAATAATGAGCAAGTTTTCAAAATCTTCTGAAAATCTTGATTCTATATTAGGTTATCAACGAGGGGATTCTAGCAAAGTTGGACTTGGTTACAAATCCAAAGAAAGACTAGAACCTCATAAAACTATTTTTGTGAAAGAGTAAAGGAAAACATATGTGAAACCGGTTTCAAAAATTTTAGGAAACTCATTTAGACCTTTTCAAAGAAAACCAACATGTTTTTATTGCATGAAATTAGGTCATACATCAAATAGATGTTACATAAAACATTTTGGCATATCTAATGGAAAATATGAATGGGTACCTAAAGGAACAAATCATTTATACATGTCTAGATGATAGTTTGAGCATCTAATAGATTATGAATTTTCGAAATTTTTTCTTCTTGTCATAATCGATTGTGACATCACCATAATCGATTCTGATGGGTCAAATGTGATACTGATGAATTTTCTTGCTGTAATAATCGATTATTTTATTTCATTATGCTGTGATAATCGATTATGATAGAAAACTTTTGAAAGTTTGAAAAAAAAAATTTATATTATGGTTCTATTCTTTTATCCTTAGTCTTTTGGTGAAGACTTGTGATTCTACTAACCTTTTTAAGGACCTAAAAATAATTAAAGGGTACCTAAATTTGTATGTTGATGTTGCAGATAATTATCAAGGATAAGAAATCAATGCAGGTTATTGGAGCTAAATGGGTGTACAGGAGCAAAGCTTGATAAACAGGAAAATATCATAAAGATAAGTTTATTCTTGTCTCTCATGCCTCTGCATTGAATATCTACACGTATCTGCCATATACATTCAATTGTTAACCAACTTAGAAATTTGAAAGTTTGAATTTTGAAAATTTAAATTTTTAAAAATTTGAAATTATTAAAGTTTGAAATTTGAAAGTCTGAATTTTGAAAATTTGAAAGTTTTGAAATTTGAAAATTTAAATTCAAAATTTGAAGTTTGAAATTGGAATTTGAAATTTGGAATTTGTTGGAATTTGAAATTTGAAATTTGTTGCAATTTGAATTAAAATTTGAATTTTGGAATATGAGTGAATTTGAATTTGAAAGCTGCCTCAATAAGAAAACTAGAATTGGGGGAAAATACTGCATTTCATTCCATTATCTCTGCAATCATTCCATTCCCATATCTTTCTCTCTTCATTTGCCTTGGGTATCCTAGATATTGTCTCCTTATTATGATGTTCTTCTCTATGACACTTTGTGATGTATTATCTTCTTTGTATTGATTTATGTGCAAATTTGTGCAAATTTTTACTAAATTTCTCTTGCAATATTTTTCATGATTATCAATGAAACAAGGAGAGATTTTGATGATATTAATATGTGTGAAACAGGGGGAGATTTATTTTCTCTTGTCGCTGCCTTTAAAAACAGGCGGTCGGAGCGATGCGATGGTTTCGACTTTCCAATTTTCGCGTTTTTATGGGTGATGTTACAACGCCTTTAGGTTGTCCAATAACCGGGCTGAACCTAGGGCGAGGTTTTTGAAAATGTGTTCTTAGGTTGTCCGATAACCGGGCTAACCTAAGAACTAATTTGAAGGGGTTCTTATGGAGTCGCCACCGATGTTTTTACTGGAAACATCGAAAAAGGAGGAAAAAGGCGTTGATTTTTCGAAAAACCAACTTTGGTCGTTAAAACTAGAGTTGGGCAAGGAAGTTAGTTATGTGTAAGGGAAGTGTTAGTTCCCTTACGATGCCCCTTTCGGGTTCCCTATGATAGGCCAACTATTTTATAAATAAACTTTTGAAAAGACGCTTTTACCCTTTTATTTGCGGAATTAAAATAATGACTACATGACCCTAATGTCTATTATGCAATTTAATCATAAAAATAAAGATAGTAAAAGAGAGGGAAAGAATGAAGAAACCTCCGAGGAAAGCTTTTGATTAATTTTCTTGAAAGTAGGGTGCGTTTTGACAGCCCTTTGCTCTTACAACGCCGTAAACTCTCTCGAAACGCTATAAAAAGCTCTCTAAGACTCCCAGAAACTCCGGAAATGCTTCGGAGGGACTCTAGGAAGAGAATTTGAAGAAATGGTAGAAGGGAAAGTGGAAGAAATGTGTGAAATGAGGGGGGGAGCGCTCACTGTTTATAGGGATTCGCGCCTGTCAGGTCGAGACGACCGTCTCGCCATTTGGGACGGCCGTCTCGACTTGGATAAGTGGCGAGACCGCCATCTTGTTTGGCGAGATGGCGGTATCGACTTTCCTAGTGACGAGAGGGCCTTCTCGCCAAAAGGGAGGGGGGTCTTGCCATTGGCAAGTGGCGAGACGGCCGTCTCGCCAAATGAGATGGCGGTCTCGACTTGCAAGAATGGCGAGACGGCGGTCCCGAAAAGTGAGACGGC